GAACTAGACACTGGCGTATACACAGTGAAATATACAACAGGGTATACACGGTGAAATAGACAACGGGGTATACATGGTGAAATAGAGAACAGGGTATACACTGTGAAATAGGCACTGGTATATACATGGTGAAATAGACACTGGCGTATACACGGTGAGCTAAACACAGGGGTATACACGGTGCAATATATACTGGCATATACACTCGCATATACAGGGTGAAATTGACACCGGCGTAAACACGGTGAAATTGACACCGGGGTATACACGGTGAAATATACACTGGCGTATACACGGTGAAATTGTCACCAGTGTACACACGGTGAAATAGAGACATTGATATGGTCATATAGTTACAGTGGAGTAAACAAATACCATCGTCCATGGTCTCAGCATTAGTCCGTGTTTCACCTTTCGTGGGACGCAAAACAAGGTCGATATCGAGCGTTTTAGTGTTCACTATGACATACGTAGTTAATATAACAATGCATGTATTGACAAATACTTCCCCCAGGCTTCTCTAAACATAGAAATACGATTTACGTCCTCTCTTTAAACAGAGTACCTCGATTTTGAAATATAACAGCATTGTGGGGTGTGTTTTTATCGCGGTTAACAAAGTAACAGTTCGGTATAAACAGATTAATTTAAACAGATGCTACAAAATAAATACATCATATTGACATTGGTTGTAACATTATAGAATGGCCTTTGCCATTGAAGTTATTCATGTAAGTAATGGACATGAGTATTTGTGTTGACATCAGGGTCCCTCAGTGTGTTGACTTTAGGGTTTAATTAGGGTTTTATTATATGCTGACATCGAGGTTTCTTAGTACGTTTCGTGTTGAATGTCATTGGATGTGGAAAACTGCGAAGACTGTTTTCAATTCAGTTGTTATATTTGTCCTTTGTCTAGGAAATATTTTGGAATTTGACATATATTTATTCCTGATCTCGAGCGTTCGGACTCCAGGCCTTCACAGGACACACTCCTTTTGTTGAGTACGTCTTTGGTATTCAGTTACACCAGTGGTTCAACATTCAACTGAAACAATGACGTGCGAAGCCGAAATAGTTTGTCCGATTAAGTCTGGGACGCCAAAGATTTGACATTATTTATCTTAGAAATTAAATATTTTCCTGTAAATGAATCTGTTTAAGTACACTCATTATATTAATGCATGCTTATGCTCAAACGAACGCTGTTTGAAACGGAGGACATTTACATGTGGAGGATATGTAAGTTCTGAAAATGTAATGTTATATAAACAACATATATAATGTGTTCGAGATGTAAAAGAGATATTAAGACAAAGTATAGAGAGAACTGACTCACTGAGAAATGTTAAATAAATAGAAGGGGTGAGCGCGCACACAGACACACACTCATAGTTACATTTTTTCATCCGTGAAGAGATCGCCTGTTCAGAAACATAAATCTGTACAAAAGCGCGTGATTCACACTCCGGCTCAGTAATGGCGGCGCATGTTGTGCTGGCCGCACCATTATATTATGCTAAGTCATCGCTACGCGGAGTCTCCGGATTGTGGATAATGACTGACTGACTGAGTTTGGTTTTACGCCGCTTTTAGCAGTATTCCAGCAACATCACGGCGGGGGACACCAGAAATGGGCTTCACACATTGTACCCATGTGGGGATTCGAACCCGGGTCTTCGGCGTGACGAGCAAACGCTTTAATCATTAGGCTACCCCACCGCCCCGTGGATAATGCACTGCCGGAACTAGTTTCAGAAATAATTTTGAAAACTCAACACTTCTGGGCTTGTTCAATGGCATTGCGTATGTGAATAGCAGTGCATGAGAGGAGCTTATGCATACATGTACACTCGATCACCCCAGCAACACTGTTGCTTGGCCGATGTCACTTGGCATTGTGACGTCATAGGGTATTGTGACGTGTTTGTAAACTTTGTTTTGCTGAATTCCAAAGGTAGGCCGTTGTATGGTAGAAATCAATACATGGATCGATCAATATTTATGTGTCTGACCTCATATGACGGTGAAAATTCACAAGCTAGATTATAGTTTGATGTAAACTTTTATTTTCAAGCTTTAAACGGCAAGAAATAAATATCTGATATCCTAATATATATCTACGATCTCTCGTGTCATACTCGTGAATACTTTAGTATCTGTTGCTCGTCAAGTGCCGTCAATATTCACTCGTTTTATAAAGCTGACTTAACACAACAGCTACAGTCTGTTTGCAGTGAAAACGCACCGATGAATTTCACTTTAAACAAAAAAGTAAATAAAATAAAGTGAAACTAAGACTGCGAATCCTCATAATTTTACCTTGCCAATTGAACATTTAAATCTCAGAATTTTATTCATCTTAGGATAAAAGTTATTTAACAAACGATCACAAATTCATTATTGGTTTGTAGTACAAGGGGGTAAGCGTAGTAGTTGGAACAGTGAAACAAATGCACGTGCATTTCGTGATGAGCGTAACTTAGACCAACCCTTCTTGTTCTCGGTGCATACGCCCATGCTATACAAACCAATAATAGCGGTTTGAAACCATGATCGTTTGTTAAACAACTTTTATAAATTCTGAGATTTAAATGTTCAATTGGCAAGGCAAAATTACGAGGATTCGCAATCTTAATTTCAAATTATTCGATTTACTGTTTTGTTTAAAGTGAAATTCATCGGTACGTTTTCACTGCAAACAGACTATAGTTTAGTTTTCTATACACAATACCGTACAGTGGGACCCCGTTTAACCGGACCGCAATTACCGGGAAATATGGCTTGTATAGCTACAGGACGAAATATCAATAGAAACTTACACCTGACACAGTTGCACCTCTTTTTATCAGAATCAATATACGAGTGCTAAACTGTACATGCGTGCTAACTGTGAGAGTTTGTGTTTTGTTGTACAGACGATAACGGTAAAGACTAATGTCAAAGATCAAACAGCAATTTATCTTCCCGCTGAGTACAAAGTGACAGTTGAAAGCTGGAGAGATACCGTGAATGTTTATGTTTCAAATGCTATGGGAATGTTTGCGTACTCCAACTAATCCATGTTTAAACAATGACACAAATGTTGGATTGCATTTCAATATCTCGGAATACATTTGACAGGGGCCTCTTATCCATGCTGATTTATTGTGTTTGTGTTTCCAGGCAAAATGACACTAACGAACCATTAACGTTTTTAAAAAAACAAGTGATGTTTTCACATTGGTTTTCCTTTTAGAATACGAGTGGTTCGATTGAAATATTTATCAGTATCCCCGCACATGCAAATATTGTCCCATATATTGAGGCAATAAAAGGATCTGTCATAATCTCTCTTATACAAGAAAGTAATAACATGTTCTGAAACTCAACAGATATCGCTGTTGTGAAAAACACGAAAAGGCGAGAAGGTCTACTCAAGTAGTCTATGTGATTGTAACGCGAATCTACAATCTTTAAAAACACTTCATTCAACCACCTGATTCCACTTTTTTTAAAAACGTAGTTCAGTAATTAAGATACTTAAAGGACCAGATGGCAACCCCGTTTAGGCGGCAGTAGTTGTCTCGGCAGGATGACGTGCACATCTAGTTTACAGCGTGTTTGAGGAGTTTCCTAACTGGCTATAAAGTCACCGTTTTAAAGTTTTCCTGTTATTCGACAAGCCATCACTGATTAACTATTCATGACTACAAGTATCACCATTAATGATAAAGCATAAAGGAGTCTACGAATCCCATTTTCTAGTGACGAACAAGATTGATCTTGACACAAAATACCTCTCTTTTACGTACATCGTCAAATATTTACTGTGATTATCATCACTCAAGTGGCCAGCTTTTCAGTAAAGTTTTGTCCCTAAATCAGAGGAACATCCACTTCTCCACTGAACCTAGAAACAATTGAAATAACTGAAACCTAACAAGATGATTAGAGTTGAGTTTTACGCCGCACTCAGCAATATTCCAGCTATATATCGGCGGTCTGTAAGTAATCGAATCTGGCCCAGACAGTCCAGTGATCAACAGCATGAGCATCGATCTACGCAATTGGGAACCGATGACATGTGTCAACCAAGTCAGCGAGCCTGACCACCCGATCCCGTTAGTCTCCTGTTACGATAAGCATGGGTTACTGAAGATCAATTCTAACCCGGATCTTCACCGGTAGATGATGTTTAGAACTAGAACTGGTATGAACAAAACTACCTAATCGATCAATCTGTATTTGTGATACCGTTATGCCATAGTACATAGTCTCAAGGTGTTACAAATTAATTACTGTTAAATTGCTGACTGTGCATCATGAACTCACGGTAAAAAGGCTGACTAAAGAGATCGATGATCGGAAATATCGTTGATGCTAAGAATTAGTCTATTTGAAAACTGTGTCATCGATAATATCGTATATAAACTATTCGGATGAAATATAGTTTTAATTTACGCGCACAGTAAGTTTGGTGTTTATTCATGGGCAACTTCTAACTTATGCTCAATACGCTGTTTTATTTTGGTAATCCATGCATTAATGTGTTGCCACTCACCAGTGATGAGTTTATTGCTTTCAAATATCTTTGGAATGTTTGGTTACTTCTCCGATATTTATCGATAATGGTTCGATATTTGGTTAACGATCGTCGATCTCTATGACGTATATCGACAGCCAGACCTGCATGTTATTCTACTGTAGCTCCCACTGTTCAGGAGTCAGTGATATACCTTTACACTGCTGACTGTACGGGACTCTGTAATATACTATACATGTGCAGATACCTCTCATTCAAAGGGGCTGTGGGTAATCTAGTGGTTAAAGCGTTCGCTCGTCGCGCCGAAGGCCCGGGTTTGACTCTCCACATGGGTACAATGTGAAGCCCATATCTGGTTCCCTCGCCCTGATATTGCTGGAATATTGCTAAAACGACCTATGACCATACTCACTCACTCACTCTCATCCACAAGGAATCAAAGAAAGAAACAACAGAATACCCTCTATTGTTTCAGATGACGCCTCAAACTGCTGCAGCTACTGTATGAAGATGCCGTGTTCAGCGTAACGACGACGACGACGATGGAGAGACACCAAGGTATGTGTCCCCACAGGGCGACATCCCCCGTCTATGTCCCCGAGAAGAAGGTGAGACGCCGACGCAACGACCCAGGGACAGAGGAGATTATTAGATTCGTCCGAGAGTTCCAGCTGGAAAAACAGCCAACCCTTCTCCGTCTTCAACGTCGCGCACCCCTACCTGGCATCGGCGAAGTTGCGCCGGCTGTCTCAGACTCTGGCTACGTTGAGAGGACAGAGGTATCGGACAGTGATGATGACCCTATGTTGGACAGTGAAATAGCCGCCATTGAGGACAATGCTAAGTCACTCCGTCGGACTGGGTCTTACCTGAGACTGAAGTCTGATTCTCAGTTCAAGAGACGATCGTCTGTTAATTCTAGATCGTATCAACATCTTCCGTCCAAATCTGTCGGCCGAACAAAGTTCGCGACGGAGAGTATGTACAATTCGTTTGGCGGACTTCGTCTAGCGCGGCAGAATACGTTAGTGAAGCAGCTTCCACCAATCAGAAGGCAGGAAATACCTGAGAGGCCTTCAGCCCCGTCACCAAGTGTCACTCCGCCGCTTCCCGGAGAGGACCTAGATTCTGCAGGTGAACCGGTTGACTTCATAGATCCGGCGTAGTGATTTCAAATTTGCTCCGCCTGTCATTACGACAACAAACAGTGAACGCTGACCATTGCAGCTTTACAGCGGTATGTTGCTCTAAGAATATGTGAACGAAGTAACGCCTAGTGTTTCGTACATACGCCAAGCAGTGTTGCACAGCAATCAAGGTGTTTCTTTCTCTTTCCGTGCAACGGCACCCAATTATGAAAGGGACGTAACTCAAGGATACCATTACTATGCCGATGATGACCCATAAATAATACTGATACTACTAAAGCTACTGAAACGTAAGATAGGAACACGTATTATACAAGGCAGTCCAGTTGGTTGTGTGGATCGTATACATGGGAACTGTGGCGTTCTAGCCCAGTCGGCAAACGTCAGCTCGTCACATCATGGCGGCACAAGTTGAACTGTCATGTTGAACTGTCAGTGCAGAGGAAACTACGACGATACAAGGATCTAGATGTCTGACCTTCCTTCGTGTGTACGGCCCTTTTCACAAAGCTCTCGTAAGACTAAGATATCGTAACTTTTCTTGTAGCATTCGTACTTCCTATACTGTAACATTGACTTACGATAGTCATAGCGCTACGAGAGCTTTGTGAAACCGGGCCCAGGACAGGACGCCTATTACACACATGTCAGCGCTATCACCCTGTTTCAGTCAAATAACTATGAAGTATTATCACAGTATTCACTTTGGGTTTGATAAAACACCAACAGACTCTATATTCATGCGTAATGTGTCATATTTCAACAACCTCAGACAGCAATGTGATATTAAACTTCAGATATTTCACGGCATGGTTATGCAATCGTATATTGCGGAAGTTTCTAATGCGCAGACTCGCTTCTTTAACATAGAATCTAAGGAATTCAGCTTTGTAGACAGATTAAGTTTTCATGAAACGATGAATCTTTGTCTCATCTATCAACAACCTCAGAAAAAACATGTGATATTAGTTATTAATGCCTCTTCGGCCTGACCCTATTCTACATAGGTTACCAATGAGCCTTCATGCTCTCAGTGTTATTGTTGACTGTACAAACACATGTGGGATGCATGCGACCACTGACCATTTGGTACAGGAAGTAGGATATGTGTAGACATATGTGTGTAGACGAGTGAAGTGGAATCGTGTGGAAAACTATTTCCTTATTTGGAGATGGAAAAAATATTTAATGACTATAAATCAAAATGGTGGACTTATGAACTCATAGTGTCATACTGAAACTGAACATAAATATTGTAATAAACATCGCTTGGCTTGTACCGGAGACGACGCAAGAAACTGTTCTTGAGGATAAATATTTGAGTAAGCGCTGCTCAGTTAAACTGGCTTCATTATGAGTATTGCGATGCCGCTGATGGAGCTGTTACTACCACAACAATATGTCCGGCCAGTCAAAACGACAAGTCGGGGAACGTAACTACGACGATCTCCGTGCTTATGGTGGATCCGTAGGTTGTTCCGGCAGCACACGATGGGTTACGATTGATCAAGATGCATCCTTATAAGGTTGTGACCTCTTTCCAATGTATGTTTTGGGATCGACTATTTGTGCTGGAATGTGCTTGTTTGTGGAGAAACCAGTGATATGTTGAAAGGACAACGCAATTTTATCTGTCTACCTCAAGTTGTTCACTTGTATCAGTGCCATGCATATTTTCATAGATCGTTTGTACGCGTTTGCAGGTAATAGAAAGGCAACAGGTGTATTTCATGGGATCATGTATAATGATGATCGTTTGCATTCTTACATACTATTTAATAAATGTTCATACGCTGCTGTGTTGTGTCATATACGATGTGTTTCCCATTAAGGGAATAAGTGAATGTCGTACAGTTGAATAAATTGCACGTTTCACTAATTAAAGCGACATGGAGTCGATCAATCGAGACGTCGTAAATTGGAATCACTTTTATGAAAATTGTCATTTGTATTCTATTTTGGCATTTATAAATTACTAATTAGCCATTGTTGATCTATAATGATCAGTTAAATTGTCTACACAAACGCAGCAGATGTCCTGATGATGAATTCAATGAGTAAAGTATCTCTGAAGAGAATTTTTATTGACCAGGTTTCAATTAATATTTCTGAACACACTCGAGACAAATTACTTCCATTCTAAATACATAACCTACCAATCTTCGACACTATACAACATTCGACATATGAAAATGTTGCAGTAGACGGCAGCTTCATGGATCATACTGTTCGCTGCCAGGAATCTGATGTGTCCAGAATACCAAGGTTACTCTCTATGTTGATGGGATAACGGTTACGCGATGTTTGAAGTTCAGTGTATGTGTTTTACGGCCATGGAATTCCGTAAACTCCACGTCGCTTGAATGTACACTGCATCTAGATTGTATGTCTCAGTCGGATGGATATCCTATGTACCCAATCGGAAGAGTCACAAAGGTGAACGCAATTTGACAACTTCCGTGGAGAGTAACCCAAAACGGGTTTCAGTACGTGAGAGCAGAATTGGAACACTCCACTGAGATCCAGAAGACGCCCCAGAAAAACCTTGCTCTTCAAAGATGCGGCATGAGACGTGATTAAGACAGTTATACACAAGAAGTTAAATGTATCATCCACGGCTCATGTTAGATATGCAAAACAACCTGTTTGGAATACTTTACATGTAAGCGAAACAAGTGCTGGGATATATACAAATACACAAAGAACCTAATTAAGCACACCCTGTATTTTTGCACTGATATGTTTTCAACAAGTACATAAAACATCTCGTTTTCTGACCCGTAAGATCCTTTGACTCATAAAAAACGACAAAATGATTGGAATCCATGTTGATTTCATGATGATAATTGCTCATTTAAAAAAACAACAACACTGATTTTCATACAAAACCATGTCTGTACAAGTATGGCCCTGTAATGTTGGATATTGAATTTATTGGTGAATGTGAACATTTAAAATGTCATTTTGCGTGTCTTACATGATTCAATGTCAATACTGAGTGTAACCTCCATGTGACTGTATGACAGCCAGCACTCTCCTAATCATACCCCTTGTCAGCCTCCTGATCCTCTGAAGGGGCAGTCTACGCCATTCCTCGTGTTAAGCAGTTTCCATATGGGCTAGGTTCTGCACAGGAGGATCCCTTTGTTGCACACGACAACCAATCATGTCCCAGATATGGCTCCAAAGGCTTAAGATCGTGGCTCATTCAATCGTGAGATATGTCAGGGGTGCTTAACTATGTTCTCTCTGTACATATATCTCTGGAACACTCTTTATAATGTAGGGTATATTCGAAAATGCTAATAGAAGTACAAGTGATTGTATTAGATGGATAGGAAGAAGGAGACACAAGGAGAAACATAACAGTGGGAAAAACCCGATGTTAGCAGCGTATTGTAATGACGCAAACAAGCAAGAAAGACGACAGGGTTTGAACTAAAGAGTTTAGATGAGAGGATGGCTTCATCAGTGACGGGTGGTGAAACATTTGTCCATAGGGCTTATTGTTTTGTTCCTCGTCAATCTCCCATGGATCTGAGGGAGTCTTGTCCACTCCTCGAGCAGCGCCAAGGCAAGTTCGGCTAACGTAGCTGGTCGGCGAGACGTCCTCCCGTAATGTGCCAGATGTGCTCGCTCTGTGGGGGAATGTCGCGGTCAGGATTCTGGTGATGTTTCCATAAAAGTGCTCATTTACAGTGGGTGCTATACCCAGGAAACGGGGTTTCCTGTCGCGCCTGCGATTAACAACGTTTTCTATAGCTGCATTAGTTTGCTGTATAATATTCCAGATATTACACGGCGACCTGTAACTATTCCAGATATAACTCGGCGACCTGTAAATATTCCAGATATAACACGGCGACCTGTAACTATTCCAGATATAACACGGCGACCTGTAAATATTCCAGATATAACGCGGCGACCTGTAAATATTCCAGATATAACGCGGCGACCTGTAACTATATACCAGATATAACGCGGCGACCTGTAAATATTCCAGATATAACACGGCGACCTGTAACTATTCCAGATATAACACGGCGACCTGTAAATATTCCAGATATAACACGGCGACCTGTAAATATTCCAGATATAACACGGCGACCTGTAAATATTCCAGATATAACACGGCGACCTGTAAATATTCCAGATATAACACGGCGACCTGTAACTATTCCAGATATAACACGGCGACCTGTAACTATTCCAGATATAACACGGCGACCTGTAACTATTCCAGATATAACACGGCGACCTGTAACTATTCCAGATATAACACGGCGACCTGTAACTATTCCAGATATAACACGGCGACCTGTAACTATTCCAGATATAACACGGCGACCTGTAAATATTCCAGATATAACACGGCGACCTGTAAATATTATTCCAGACATAACACGGGCGACCTGTAAATATTCCAGATATAACACTGTAACCTGTAAATATTCCAGATATAACACGGCGACCTGTAAATATTCCAGATATAACACGGCGACCTGTAACTATTCCAGATATTACACGGCGACCTGTAACTATTCCAGATATAACACGGCGACCTGTAACTATTCCAGATATAACACGGCGACCTGTAACTATTCCAGATATAACACGGCGACCTGTAACTATTCCAGATATAACGGCGGCGACCTGTAACTATTCCACGCGGCGACCTGTAAATATTCAGATATAACACGGCGACCTGTAAATATTCCAGACATAACACGTCGACCTGTAAATATTCCAGATATAACACGGCGACCTGTAACTATTAACACGGCGAGATATTCCAACACGGCGACCTGTAACTATTCCAGATATATAACTAACAGATATAACACGGCGACCTGTAACTATTTCAGTCTTTGTCAGACCATCCAGTGATTGGCCATCCAGCTGTCAAGTCGCCAAGACTCTTAGATCCAGTTGGTCGCATCTTACGACCAAAAACAGGTAGGCTTGGGACCAGTTCCAACCGGAAATTTAACCCACCTATACATACAGTTTCTTGTGAGGCATTAAATTCAAGATTAAGACAATATACACAGAAACGCATTCAGATGTTGTCATATGGGTTATCGTATGACATTATCACATGGACCGTATCACAAAGTCGCCTGACTCCTGTCATACCATGTAACTGATCTAGAGAGTGTCTGTAAACCTGTTGATATCTGACAGAAGATCGGAATTATCAGCTATGCAGTAACAAAGAGGCCGTAAAGCTGTGTGTGCAGTATGAGTAGATACTAATCACACACTGGCGGAGTGTGTAATTGGGACAGCGGAGGTCCTCGTGAACAGGTTCGATAGGAGTCGGAGTTGGAGTCGGGTTGGCTCGAGAAACTGGTGTTGATAGGATGGAAGACTCCCAGTGGCCCTTATCACTATCGTCGATATCAAATAGATAGTCAACAAGCCTCCCGACCTCTTCCAAGAATCGGTACTTACCAGACAAATAACACTGTGGTTCCTCATTCACTGAATGGGGAATCAGTTTTATGAGTTATCATGAATAATATCTTGCTGACACGTTAACACAATGACTTGACTATATATAAATGTACACAATAAAACCATTTATATGCTCATAAGTGGTGTCTGATAATAGCAGAGTTCATCGCACGACTATTCAGTCTCAGAATCAAATGATGATACCAGATATTTGCGAAAATGGAAGCAAGGAGTGAGTGAGTATGGTTTTACGCCGCTTTTAGCAATATTCCAGGAATACCCTGGCGGGGACACCAGAAATGAGCTTCACACATTTTACCCATGTGGGAATCGAACCCGGGCCTTCGGCGAACGCTTTAACCACTACCCCGGGAAACAAGGAAGGACAACCTCAAGAAATGTTTCGACAAAGAACTGATCCCCAAGTGAAAAGGTCGAGACAAACTCCAGTGGGCCGTGACGTAACAAGCGACGAGGTTGATCTAATCGGTGTGTAAAACATGTAATCAGTTATCAACAGGTCCGGAACGACTGCCGCGCGATGAGCTATGCCTGAAATGAGCGGCTTATTGATGATTTATAGACAGCAGGTCTATGATAAAAATGGTTTAGCACTCTTTAAACACAACAATCAGCCGTGACACCGCAAACCGTTTCTGGTTTTCCAACGCTTCGATGACGCCATATAAGGTTCCATATGTCGTTTTAAAGGCGCAGGTCCTATTTCAGGTAATGTCAAAGGTGTACATGATTATACACATTCATGTTGACATGACGTAATGATCAACTTGATAGATTCCTCCATTTGTAATATGGTTCTGGAAGAACGTTTAAAGCCGTAGTTTAATCAATGTTCCACATATAACCAGTGCAAGGGTCGGGGCGCTTCAGCAGCAGTATCGGTGCAGTGGGAATATATACTAGCCACATAAAGAAACTGTGCACACAGAAAATGCCTTCAGAATTGGAATACAACACAGCAAAGACGAAATGATGTAGACACTATATTACTGTCATTACTGTTTCGATAACGCCTGACCCATGCAGATATCGTGTTACGATGGCATTGGAAGTGTGCTGCCACCTGTTGTTGGCTCATTCCTGCTCGAACCATTCCAATGTCTTCATGACGTGGAGCAGATGTTAATCTTGGCATGATGTGCATGTGACTTCTCATGTGAATTGGTGAACGTTTGAATGACCAAAGATCAAGCTTTCGACAGTGACAGCAATTTCAGAGTTTCACATGTTGTGTGCATCTGTACGGGCTGCACGTGCAGTAACACATTGCAAGGCCTTAGGCCAACGTCAATGACGTCACGTTGCCTGGCACGTGCA